TAAGCTTAAGTATGGGTTTGGTGGGTTTAGACACATTCTGGAGAAGGTACCAAACTATCCAGGTAGGATCAGGGGAGGATTTCCAGAGGAGGAGTTAAGTCAGATAAGGTCGGGAGAAAGCCCTGATCCGGCTGGTCGGGGGAGGGATTCCAAGGAACTCAGATGGGCTCTGATGGGACCCACAGAGGACCGGCCCCAGCCCCACCTGTTCTCTCCTAGGAAAGTGGGGAAGTAACAGCGAGGCATCCATATGCTGTAACTACTGGCCAGCAGCCACAGGATAGCAATCTCATCCAGCAGCTGGCCCAGGAGGCTAAGCGTCATGTGGAAATACATGGAGAATAGGCCTGGAGCAAGAGACAAAGGTAGGTGGTCAAGAGGGCTGTCTCCCCAACCCCCGCCACCCCAGTGTCACAGACCCCCACCTACCTATGACCATAAAGAGGATCCAAGTGATATAAATGCAGCGGGAGCGTTTCTGGGCATAGGGGTACATCAGAAACATCATGAGAGGCCCAAAGATGAAGAAGGTGACATTGCTGAACTGGAAAAGAGCAGGACATGGGGAGGGGGTCGTCAGAAGCGGAGGCAGAGGAGGAAACCCTCAGTCCTTAGCCATTGGTCATCTGCCCTCTTTCAGGCAGTTAAGGAACCCAGAGTCTGGCAATCGGTCAGTTGATATTGGCAGTCAACCAGTCATCAGTAGATTCGTCACTCCGTTTTTCTATGAGTTCATTCACTCATTCATTCAACGAATGTGGCAAAGTCTATCTACTGACTTCCTGCAGCATGCATTCTCCCCCTTTTCCTTCTAGAAATAAGATCCCCAACTTTAAGACACAGCGACGCAACTAAAGACTACATTTCCCAGCCTTCCTTGCAACTCGCTGAGCCCTTGTGACTTGGTCTGACCAATGGGATCCAAATGCAAATGAATCTATTTTTTTTTTCATTAATGTGAGCTACATTTATCAGGATTTGCTGTATTAGAAAGTGAAACTGAGGGGGGCGCCTGGGTGGCTCAGTCAGGTAAGCGTCCGACTTCGGCTCAGGTCATGATCTCATGGTGTGTGAGTTCGAGCCCCGCGTCGGCTCTGTGCTGACAGCTCAGAGCCTGGAGCCTGCTTCGGATTCTGTGTCTCCCTTTCTCTCTGCCCCTCCCCCGCTCATTCTCTCTCCCTCTCTCCCTCTCTCTCTCTCTCTCTCTGTCAAAAAAAAAAATAAACATTAGAAAGTGAAACTGAGAAATTTTCAAAATGCAGGACTACACCAGCACACATTCCCTTGGCCATCTGAGAGATGATGTCATCACTCATCACAAAGCCCCTAGAAGATTCTACGGTACCCTGGTGAGATAATTAGAGTGAAAAAGGCAGATAAAATCTTCACGTTATTATGAAAATAATTTTCATCTCGAGGAACCTCTGAAAGGTCTAGAGAACCCACAGTGTCCCTGGATGCTGTTTTGAGAACCATTTCCCTATGAATGGCAGAGCCAAAGGGCTTGATAATGTCGAGTTGCTGAATTCAGCTATTCCAGAACCATCTACCTCCAGACTTCCATTTCAAAAAATAATCAGATATGATCCTTTCTAGTTAAGCTGGTTTTAGTGGGCTGTTTCATTTGAAACCAAAGAATACCAGTTACTGGGATTCTGGGTCCAAGTGACGTGGGATTGGATTCATACTCCCCCCACCCACTAACTAGGAGGAGGTAAAATCAATGCTCTAACCTTCCATATCTGCATTTCTGACATCTGCATTATTGCTACCTCTTTGTGTCCTTGACCCAGAGGTCCCCAGGTCTCACTAGTCTATGAGTACAATTAAGGTGACAAGAACGTTTGCACCAGAATTCCAGGGGTTCAGAGTCCCTGACTGCTGATACAGGACTTCAACACCCCTCAAAGTTTCCCCCAGATATGTCTGGGCCACAGAGAGTATCTCACACGAGCTCAGAAAAAAGGTGTTCTCACATATATTTAAAAAGGGGGGGGGGCACGTGGATGACTCAGTCGGTTGAGCGGCAGACGTCCGCTCAGGTCATGATCTCACGGTCCGTGGGTTCAAGCCCCACATCGGGCTCTGTGCTGACAGCTCGGAGCCTGGAGCCTGCTTCAGATTCTGTGTCTCTCCCTCTCTCTCTGGCCCTCCCCTGCTCATGCTCTGTCTCTCTCTGTCTCAAAAATAAATAAAAAACATATAAAAAAAAAAGAAAAGAAAAGAAAAGAAAAAAATGTGAGGTCAGCCTGCTTGCTCACTCATTTGCAGCCTTCTCTCCCCAATAAAATCTTCCTCTTGTAAAGGTCTCTTTCATTGCCTGAATCCCATCTTAGAAAGTGAAGAAACAGTGCCCTGTTAACTAAGGCACTCCGTTATTTCTCAACGTCCTGAAGACTAGGGTGCAAGTCAAAAGCAATGAGCTATCACCCCACACCAGTCAGAATGGCGAGTATTAAACAAGGGAAGAAGAAATAACAAATGTCGGGGAGGATGTGGAGAAAGGGAAACCCTTGTGCACTGTGGGTGGGAAAGCAAATTGTGCAGCCGCTGTGGAGGCCCCTCAAAAAATTAAAAATAGAAATACCACACGATCGGTTATTTTGCTGCTGAGCGTTTACCCCCCAAAACACAAAAACGCTAATTTGGAAGAGAGGGAGACACAGAATCCGAAGCAGGCTCCAGGCTCTGAGCTGTCAGCCCAGAGCTTGACGCAGGACTCGAACCCACCCACTGTGAGATCATGACCTGAGCTGAAGTTGGACACTTAACCGACTGAGCCACCCAGGCACCCCCCAAATCTTTAAAACCTATAAAGAAGATGTGGTCTATACATACATCGGAATACTACTCAGCTGTAAAAGAGCATAAAACCTTGCCATCTGTAACAACATGGATGGACCTAGAGAGTATCATGCTAAGTTCAATAAGACAGAGAAAGACAAATGCTGTGTGATTTCACTTTTATGTGGAATCTTAAAAACAAAACAAACGAACAAACAAACAAAAAGAACAAATTCATAAATACAGAGAAGGATCTGGGTGTTGCCAGAGGGGAGGGGGGGAGGGGTAGGCAGATTATGTAAAGAGATACAAGCTTCCAGCTGCAAAATAAATAAGTCTCAGGGCTAAAAAGTACAGCACAGGGAGTACAGTCAATAATATTGTAATGACCTTGCGTTGTGACAGATGGTAACTATACTTACCGTGGTGAGCATTGTGGAACATACGTAATTGACAAATCACTATGCTGTACCCCTAAAACTAATATAATATTGTGTGTCAACTACACCTCAATAAAAAAAAAAAAAAAACTACAGAGAGCAGTGGTGGGTATAGGGAAATGATTTACCTGGTGCTGTCACCCCTAGGGAGTTTAGGTCCTGGGCAGGCAGGTGCCGTCCCAGCATGTGCCCTGATTCTAGGGAAGCCTGGCCTCCTTGCAGTGATGCTCTAAAAGCCACCACATGAGGACCCTTGAAATTGGTTTGCACGTCCAATCTGAGTCCATCGTCATATGTCCTTGTTTTCCACGCCATGCAATTATTCAACAACAAAGACAAGTTTTCAAACACATGTCTGGCATGGCCACCTATTTACAATGATTACGCACACTTGGTGTGGCCTGAATCATGAGCCCCTGTCCCTCCCTCCACTCCTGGAGTAGAGACGCCTATCCCCAACTGGGCCAATCAGATTTTCTTGGGAATTTGAAACTTGGAGCGAACGCAAAGCCTGGGAATCACCAAGATTGTGTCACGCCATTGTCAGTTCCCTAAGATCTGGGGATATTGTCTCGATGTTTAAGATACGTGAGCCATCTCGCCACCACAAACACACAAGACTGAGGCCACGGGGAGTCTGCCTTGGAGCTAAATCCTCCAGACCTGCCTTGGATCTCGGCCTTCCCAAGCAACTCATCTTTCCATTTTGAGATACCCCGGTACCTAGCCAATGCGTTTTTCCTCTTTGGTTTGTTCTTTTTTTTTTTTTTTTTTTTTTTTTTTTTTTTTTTTGCTTAAGCTAGCTTTCTATTTCTTCAATCCAGCAAAACCACCACCATTGGTATATTAGCTAGGGTTCTTTGGTAGCAAGCAACAGGAAATGAATTTGGTGAACTTTTACCACAAATATAAATATGTGTGTATGTAATTACTCATTAAATTAGTTATCATTCAGTCATTTATTATGGCGAACTCATTAATCAAAAGAATTGCGGAAGACAAGGAAAACCAGAAACCACAACAGCTCTGAGCCTTGAATGGACAGTCTCTCCAGGAGGCAGCTTTTGGGCAACTTTGTAGCTGTTCTATCCAGGCCCAAGATTCATCAAATTCTGGAGATGTTGCCGGGACCACACCCCCCCTTGGCCAGAGGAGGGGGAGCTCCTTGACTGACCACCCCACTGAGACCATAACCAGTTGGAGAAGGGCAGCTAGGGGATCATAGGGAAAATGGGGCCATGGATACTGAATACGGGCAAAATCCCAAACAAATCCTACATTCCCTCTGCCTTCAAACACCAGCCCTTAGGGTGTATCGAGCATGGCCAGAGATGCTGAACCAACCAGTTTCCCAAACTCTAAACCCTCCATTTAAAACACATCTGTGACTCCCATAAATAAAATGCAAACTGTTAAACTTGACTTATAAACTCCCTCCATGACTCACCTCTCTCCACCTTCAACTTTATCATCTAGGTGTGAGGGATGACCCAGTTCTTCCAAATGAGCCATACTTTCTCTCACCCCTTAACCTCCAGAAGTTTGCACGTGCTGTCCCTACTGCCTGGAACATCCCTTGTCCCCACTTACCCCTCTTGGCCAGGCCAACTACACCTCCACCTGTCACCTGGGCATCACTTTGCGATAAAGCCTTCCCAATTCCCCAAGGCAGGGTCAGGTGGCCTCCCGCTGTGCTGTGTCCCTCTGTCCTAACGTTTGTCCGCCAGTTCTGGAACTGTCTCGCTCTCCCACTAAACCTGGCTCTCAGAACAGGGGCTGTGTCCTCCCCATTCAGGAAATATTTCCTGTTGACTGGACCTCAAAACAGGTTTACACGGATCACCAGTCACATACGTGAAAACACTTGGCAGAAGAATGTCTTGTGCCTGGAACATTCCGGATGGAAGGCGTTAGGACTGTCACTTTCTCACCTGTTGACAGCATGCTTTTGTAGACATTGCTTTTAATCCTCGCATGCCCCCTGCTCCGCCTCCCCATCCCCCCAACGGGTGGCTTTGTAGTTCTTTTTCTGGCAATGGGAAAACTGGATCTCAGAGAGGTGGAGTGGCTTCCCTGAGGTCTCACAGCTCTGGGGGACTCCCGAGTTTGCTTATACCCCCCGCCTTAAGAGACAAGAGGACTAGACGGGTGGCAATGATTAAGAGGGAGCGTCCCTGCTCCCTGGCTGCGTGACGTAATGTCTCTGGGTTTCCCTTTCCTGCATCAGTAAAATGGGGGAGCATAATTAATGCTACTGTGGGGGCTGTTGGAGGGGAACGTGTGAGGCCAGTCACTGAAAGACTACATTGCCAGGGATGTG